GGAGCGGAGGGCGGAGTGGGCGGAACAGTGGCAAGGCGCAAAGGACGGAGGGGCCCTCCAGCAAACAATTGAGAACTTGCCGTCACACAACACCGCTCGCTCATACATGAAGCACTCCCCGCTCCTCAAGTTTTGCCTCCCTGTCAAAGCATCTATTATACGCGCTTATACGTTCTCGGCGCCGAGCGCACGCGTAGACATGGGGCACCGCTCTAGTGGCGGGAGGGGGCGATCCCACGTCTCTCTTGCAAATCCCGCCCGACTGTCACGCGGTAAACAACAACGTTCGCTTCGATCGACTGACTCTGCCGGCGTAGTGGAGTGGCAGAGCAGCCCTCACCGAACGCTCGCCATTCGACCTGTAAACCATTTTCGTGGCGGCCGTGGCGTGTCGTGGTGTGCGCTGACTGCGGGTTCGGCGAACACGTGGATGACCGGCGGCGTGCAGCGCCTCGGCCGGCTGCGTACTTTACAGTGGTGCAGTGCCACACTGGCTTTGTCTTCGCTGAATGGCTGGGCTGACGCAGGCTGGCCTAGGCACGGCTGCGTGTGCCTTCTTTCGGGGATCGAGGGTTCCCGCCCCGCACCGTCTGAGACCCACTGCTCTGAAGAGGGAGGGGGCTCTTCACGGCATGAGTGCCATTCGGATTCCGCATTGTGCGAGCACGTGAGCTCGCTGTGTTTGGGATCTCTGGCTCTGGAAAGGTGCCTCACTGAGAAACTGGAAAACGGCGAAGGATGAAAACTAAGCAGCACACTACAAAGAATCGGGACCCACTGCAGTCACTGAAGTGGGTGCCCCTTGACCGTCTGGAGCAGCGGTCTCCGAAGAGATTTTCTGCCTCGCATGCCAGGGCTGTCTGAGTCTGTTGATGCACCGTTCTCACTTGTAGCCAACAATGGAAACTACCGGCTTTTGTTTCGGAACATCCAGCCTCACGTTTCCACACCCACAAGTCGCAAATGCTGACCGAAAATTTCTGTTTTCGTGTGTTCCAGGTATGGCATGAGACGAGGACGCCAGGCGAGTCACCGACGCCTTCTGACGACGGTCGGGCTCCGTGGCGCTCCGTGGTGGTCAACGGCGTGGTCTAGGGCCTCCGACGACCCGGTGCGATCCACTTGCGTGGAACAGATCGCCCTTAGACGCTCCGGCAGAGACTTGGCACTTATCTGGCACCTGCAGACCCCGCGAGCGGCAAGGCGGCGGGGGCGGCGGGGGCGGCAAGGGCGGCGAGGCGAGGCCGGCCGTGAAATGGCTCGGCCATCATGCAGCACGCAGCTGCCGCCACACTGCCCCCTCTTCCCTTTTAAACATCGCACCTACCGCTCCCCCCCCCCCCTGCTTAGCGCCCCTCCCTCGTGTGCCCCGTTTGGCCATCAAACGGACCCCGCCCCGCCCCGCAGCGCCGCACGTGAGTAGCTCCCCTAACCCCCATTCCGGCTCTTCCCACCAATCCATCCCAAGCTCCATCCGATTACGTCTCATTCCTTACGCTGTCCGCTCGCCTCGTCACCCTCGGCCACACACACGCGCACCCACGCACACACGCACGTCGGGGGATGTGCTGTGCTAACGGTACGGGCTGACCACATGATGGGGGAGCAGGCGAGAGAAACGAGGAGACGGGCGTCGTCAGTCCAGCTGGACACGTGACCGCCGGCCGGTGGGGCCTTATATCTACACACACACACACACACACACACACACACCTACCACACACACACATGAGTTGGGCACACATACTCATGACCGTGTCGTATCGTGGTCCCGGTATCATGGCGACCTCGTTGTCGATGAGGGTCATAGTTAATGGAATTGATTACACATGTGCATGGCGTGCCGCTGGCCGAGGAGCTGCGTCACGTCACGTGATATCGAAAGACAATACGATCGGAACCCTAATTACTGTGTTCTTAGTGTGTGTGTGTGTGTTTTTTTCAGTCCACCAGGCAAGGTAAAAAAAACTTCGTGAAAAAAAATGATAATGACAAATGACAATGTCTTCGGAAGCTATGATAAACTTATGCCGGAAATGCTATTTTCTCTTTACTTCTCATTAATGTAGTATCATATCTGGTAAAATAATGATTTTGACCTTATGTTTGACTGTATTCTGTTAAACCAAAATTAACTTTGAAATATGCCTCTGGGCGCGGAAATCAATTAAAAATGTGTAAAGTAATGTAAAAGAAATTGGATTTGGTCATTGCTTGCCAGCACCTTACCGCCAGTGGGCATAGCTCAAAGCACATTAAACTGCTCAGAAGCAGAGGCAAAAGGTACGATTCCTTCATTTTTCAAAAACGTTAAGACGACCGTGCAGGTCTGAATTTTAAGTTTTGATTCTCCTAAAACGGCTATTACTTCTCTTTCATAGCTTTGGTTGCCTTTTCCCTACTGCCTGATTTCGTGTTTGCTGACTTTTGTTGTTTTGTTCTTAGCACACCAGCTAGCCGCCCTGCCGGGCCGTACCCACACCCGCCCTCCCACTCCCCTCCATTTGCATTCGCTCTATCTGTGCGAAATTAAACCGTGCAATTGTGCTCCACGACGCGGCAATATTTTGTGGAGTTCAAAACAGAAAAGAGGGAACGGACAAAAGTTATTCAATCAAAATGCCGTCCCTTCTCCCATTTTTATGCATTTCTGTTTTTTCCGTAATATTTTATTTTTGTCATCCGTTTTAATTTTTTCCTCGGAGCAGTGCTCATATGTTTCGGGATTGTAAGCAGACAACAGCCACGCTGAAATGAGTCCCTGCTCGCCCCAGAGCAGGGCGCTCCGTGCGAAAATTCTAATTGCCTTTTTCTGCGTCGCATGGTCTCCTAAATTTAAAGCTGCTGGCCCCTTTCTTGAAGTGTGCGTTTCTAGAGAAAGGCGGTAGTCCTTTATTCCAAAGATCAGTCTTCCAAAGATACTGAACTGCTATAGCGCACGTTGGTGAATTGAACCCACTGTGATCCAAAAGACCAGTCTAGGCACAACATCGACTCGTCCTTTTAGTGGAATCATCGGATCCATCTTGTGTGATTTGGGCCTAGAGGGGGCTGAAATGTGGGCAGAGCTGCGGCCGCTGCTGAGCCGAGGGGGTAACGACTTCGGGAATCCGGCTGACACCAAATTGGTAATCCGTAATCCGGATAACCCGAAATTTGGAGGTAATCCGGGGTAATCCGGGAAAATTTTTAGGTAATCCGGGGTAATCCTGCTAAATCCAAAGGTAATCCAGGATTTTTTTTGTTGTAATCCGGAGGTAATTTGGGGGTAATCCGGGGTAATCAGTAATCCGGCTGACACGAAATTTACCAGTCGTTACCCCCTCGTGCTGAGCGCTGTGACTCGGCGCGCCGGCGGCCTGTTTTCCGAGGGAGGACCGCAGCGTGTGAAGCCCAAACAGGGAGGACGAGCCGCGCGCCTTCAAACAACGTCCCGAGGCGTTTCCGCGCAAACTTGCCAAGTGCAATATTGATAAACGCCAACATCCCAGGGGTCATCATATCACGGCGGGGGCGGATCCGCCCCGAGGGAGGGGGGGGGGGGTGTCGGACTGAGGCCCGACGCGAGTGCTGCGCTCGGCAGGTGTGTTCCGATCGCAGGCGCTGGCCTGTCACTGGCGGTGAATCTGAGCAATCCGAACCGCGCGGTCGGAGCCATGTGAGGGACCAGTGTCAGTGTCCGCGCCGGATGCTGCGGCTCACCCCGACCATCTTGCGGACACACAACTTTTCACGATGCAACTTTGAAAGTAGAACCAATAATGTTGCTCTTTGGAGAGGCACCCTTCCCGCACACCGCGCGCGTGCTCTTCGGAAAGAAATAAAAAAATGGACGTAAAAGTTGGCGGGCTCCGGGCGAGAAGGGGGCGGGGGCGTGAGCTGGCACAATGTCGCAGGGAGAGGAAAGTTGCGAGAAACCACTTTGGAATCCAATGTGGCCAAATGCGCTTGCCAAATGCGACCAAATTCGAGCACTGGTGTCGGTGGATCAAATTACGGCGCGAGGGGAGATGCGGGGATATTGATACGGGAGTGCTCAGGGCGAGGACCTATTGATTACACTCTATCTGCGGAGTACCAACGCACCGGCAGAGCCGGCAGCGCATTTCCCACCCATCTTGATCGCGGCGACAGTGGCGCCGGAGTATTGGCAGCCTTTATGTTGGTACCCCTGACACCGCGGAACGGGCCAACGCGTTTGCGGGGCCAACGGCCTTCGTGTGCACCTTGCGGGGGGTACCGCACACCCCTCGTTTGCAGACCGAAACAAAGAACAACGCAGACAGCCTCAAAAAGGGTGTGCAAATATGCTGTTCCGCGGTGTTTGCTGCGCGCTTCGATTTGTGTTGCCTCGCGTCTGCACGTTGTGTATCGGGTGGCAGTGTCGGTCCGTTATTTCCGCTTTCATGACGAAAGGGCAACGACGCCTGCGCGAGTTTGATGTACAGCGCGTGTTCGGGGCGGCCATTATACGCACTTGCTATCAAATTTATTTATTTTTAATTTCGCTGTCACTAACTAATGCTTACTGGTCGCTTCGCGCAGTGCCCTGCACTGTGAGTCAGTGAGTCGGTGCCTGAACGGTGGCCGCCGCACTGGCCGCTGCTACTGCACTGGTCATCAGCATAAACATGGCCAACAAACACCACTCGAGGGAGGCCGCGCTGCACCCGCTGCTGTGGCGGCGGTGGCCGAGGGGCTGTGATGGCTCGCTGCGCCGTGCTGGCCGCGCTGGCCGCGCTGGCTGGCAGGGTTGCCTATCTATCGAACGGCCATTAAATCAGGTCGAACAACACACTGTGCGGTCCGCGCTCGTGGGTCCAAGGGGTCGTACGCGCGACCGCCATTTTATACCGCATGCCAGCAGCCCTTGTATTTGGCCCCAGTTTATTTACACTCGTTGAGTTTGCGATTGCGGAGCGCACGCACGTAGCCCCACACGTTATTGCCAGTTTGTTTTGTTTTATTTTTGTTTATTTTCCTTTGTTGTTACTTTCCAGATTCCTCCCCTGACGCTGTGAATGAAGTCCCTGTACCCTACAGTGAAGGTAATTTTTTTTTCCTTTTTTTAAAAAGAGTAATCTACAACTAACGGTTTCGTGTGCTTCGACGAGAGGAAATTTGTGTTCCTGTTTTGCGTGTTGCGTCTCTTCAAGTAACCCAGGGCTTTATGCTGACTGCTGCAACTCTTCTTTATGCCCGTTTAGAATGTTCCTCGGTTGCTTCCATGCCCACCTCGCTCTGCCGAGTCTGCCGGGCTCCGGCCGACCACAAACCAACTTTACGCTGAAGCCCGCCCTCTGTAGGTCAGGTCCCTTTGCCACTTCGTTAAGCATATGGAAATAGGGGCAAAGTATCGCTGGCTGAATCTGCCGACTAGAGGGATCGTGTAGAAAGGAGTCTTGGACAGATATTGTTGGAGTGAAGCCTGTTTGTTAAGTTTGAAAAAGTATTCCATTGTTCTGAGCAGTTTTTGCGTTAATTCACCAAAAGCCTTACAGATCATTTTTGTGACCGGTTCTTGCAATGATTTTAAATAACTGAGCCAGCAAAACTACAGGCGCTGCTTCGCGCTGAGCCTATCTCAGGGGAGAGATGCCAAATCAGATTGCGCAGCTAAAAAAATAGCAGCGATTTCGCTTTCTTGCTCTGTTTCATTGATGAAAACTAAAAAGAAAACTAAAAAATAATCCTGTATCCAAAAAAAAATGTAACACTGTTAAAAAAATTCTGAAAATTCAGACCACTTTTGTCAGACTTGGTGGTCTGAATCTATTTTTCAGACCTGTTTCAGACTGCTTGTCTGAAAATTTTGCCTTCCGGTATGAAAATTGCGACTTGATCGTCTCAGAACCTAAATTCAGACCAGCGCAGTCTGAAAATTCAGATGGTTAAGTCTGAAAATTCAGACCAATCCAAGATTTCGTTTGTCCGCTAGATGGCGCGCATGTTGTGGAACATACCTACTTCTGTTTAAAAGGCTTCTTATGTGAAAATACATTAGTTGAAAAGTTCCAAATTGACAGGACTTAATCGGCCATATGAGAACCATTCTCTGCTGCAAGATTTATCTCCGTAATATGGGTGGAAGTTGAACAATCCACATTCTAATTTACCTCTCGCGGGTGGCTCCGTGTCGCCATTTCCTTGGGTGCCACAGGCCGGCCTCTCGAGAGTCAGGGAAAAGGACAGAGGTCCTTCTTCCTCATCACAATTTTTACTCAATGTTGTCCTCCCTGGAGGTTCACACACACCTGAGATTCTTTCTATGTCATATTGAACATGTCGCGAACCTTAAAGTTCACAATCTTCGTACAGGACTGAATTTTCAGACCACCAAACTCTTAAATGTAAGACTCTCGAGTTCTGAATTTTCAGACCATCTAAATGGTCTGAATTTTCAGACCTCAAGTCTGTTAATAACTTCTTACCAATTTGGTCTGAATTTTCAGACTTTTTTTTTAACAGTGAAAAAAAAATGATCTTGCAAAAAAAATCAGGCTGGTGCTTGCGTCAAAGGCATGCGCGCATCATGCTGTGCGACATCAAAAGGAATCATGCAAATAAGGCCTGAGCAGGAAAGAATCGGTCCTCTGCGGCGTGATGGCAGCGTATTGGTGATTGATCCAGAGACTCAAAGGTCTGCCAGGTGTTATACGAGATGTACAGGAATGCAGAATAACTAAGCCGTACACACGTTTTTTCTGAAGTGGTGTCTAAGAAGGGCAGACATACACACCCATGCGGGTTGAAAGTATGAACAACCCTTATTGTCAGATTGGCAGAGCTCGAACAGGGACAAACGAGTTTTCGCTCGACAGATTGCGAGAGCATGTGCTTGTACCACTCAGCCTGTTCCGCGTATTGACGGACGTGGCCAGTATTTTTTATTCATTCCTGTTATATTTTTTAACGCACCGGTGTTGTGAGTGGATGAATAATCGTCTCGACGTGATGACGAAACGGCGCGCGGTGTTCGCCGGAGCGAAGCACGGCGGAGCGGCGCGGCGGTAGTTGGCCCTCCCCCCACGCATACTTCACAAACGACTAGCCGGATGGTCTCGGCGGGGAAAGTCCAACTTGCGTAGCGAGGCGAGATGCATGCCAAAGTTCGTCACTTTATACCTTCTGCGCGAAATCCATTAGACTTAATGCCGGCGGAATGGCCTCAAGTGGTCCCGGCGGTCGGTGTATCGGGCGTCGGCCGCTGGCTTACATGGCCCAGTGGCGGCGATTTTGCTCCCCTTTTTGCGGAACCGATAATGCAATTAAAGTTTGGGGAAGAAGGCGCCGAGAGGGGCGGGGCATGAGGGTTCCAACCGGGAGCAACCGGGCGGCTCTAGATTAGCGCGGCGCGCACGGCCGGGCCTGCCGCGCCTGCCTCCCCGGTTTATCCCTGGCCGCGCAGCTCGTCTTCATCTTCCTCGCCGCGCTTGTTAGTGGCGCCTTCCAATGGCTGATCTAGGTGATCTGATTAGCAAACCAGCTCTCACGGATGCACCGTGGACGCGCTGCTGCATTTCTAATTAAGATCCAGAAATCAGAGCTCAGGTGGATCCGGGCGCAATATGTGTCACTGTCTCTCATCTCAGTGTCTCTGTCGCGCTGGCGCGCGCGCGTGTGTGTGTGTGTGTGTGTGTGTGTGTGTGTGTGTGTGTGTGTGCCAGTCACTGGAAAGCGACAAGCTGTGCCGTAATCATGCTCCTCTGATGTGATAATTAATTTCACGGCGGGGAACGGATTAGCGCGGCTGCCGCCGCAGAGGCTGCCAGCCCGGCCAGGCCTGCCAGCGCCATGGCAGCAAGGGCCTTCCCTGCCGTACTGCCGCCGCACCTTCCCTTTATTTTCCGAGGCCAATAATGGCCCCGCCAGCGGCAGGCGGCCGGGCGGCCGGGCCGGCCGAGCTGGCAGGCGGCGGCTTCGCGCGCCTCGCGCCCTATTTTTCACGCGCCCGGATGGCCGCACCGGGGCGGCGCCTCCGGCCGGCCGATGCCGGTGCTGGTGCTGCTGCTGGTGCTGCTGGTGGTGGTGCTGGTGGAGGCGGTAATGGCTGTCAGGCCGGTGCGCGTGCTTTTGATGTGGCATGCGAGCCCCGGGCCGCCTGGCCGCTCTCCTCGGCCGGCTCGTCGCGGGACTGGCGGCCCCCACGGCCGACGACCGCAGCCCAGCGGACCGGAGGGGGCCGCGTCACCGCGCCATCAATCTGCCGCCAACGTTTCCAAAGAGCCGTCCTGTCCCTCTCGCACTCCTTCGAAACGCCCGGAAGGGACTGGGCGCCGAAAGAAGTTCGGACTCGGCGTGCTGGACCTGGTCGCGGCGGACGCCCAAATTTACTGCGCGCCTCTTGACCCCATGGCCGGCGGGGCGCGGTGTGGCGGCGCGCCGCGGGGAGTCGCGACAAAACACGCGGCAAGCAGACTTGTTCCTCCTCATCGCAGTGGGCTGGGGCCAGTCAAAACGGAACTGTGGACACGTTTATGCGAGGTCGGTATTCCTTTGCTGTGAATCGCTGTGAATCCAATATCAAACACATTTTCGCATTGACAGTTCCGCGTTTACTCGCCTTCTGGCCGCTGTCTTGTCAAGATCGGTTTCGCCGGTCTTCGTTTGCAAGGTTCGCTGTCCCGGATGAGACGGAACTTGGTTACCAGGCTGACAGCTGAAAAAGCAGCTGGCTGCTGCGATGAGATGACAGACCACCTTTCTTTCATGCTGCTGCCACGATACTTTAGACTATGGTTGATAATTTTTGTTAGGTACGCAAGATATAAATGGACCTAGACCGGGCAAGGGAACGGCGGGCTCGAGCATGACGCCTTCCAGGCGGTGCAGCCTGCGACTGGCTGGGACGGACGGGGCCCAGCCGTATCGTTATCGAGAGGCCGTCTCGACCGGAGGAGCGACGGATCACGAGTCGGACCGACTCCGAAGGGTCTCTCCAAAGTTGTTCGTATCTGTCGGCCGAAACGAGACCTTGTTAAAGCGGTGTTATCGTTATTGTGCCGCAAAGTTTCCTGTTCCGAAAGTGGGTCTGCTGATGATTTGGCTCATTACACGACTCGACGGACAAGGGCTCCCGAAAGGAAGATAAAAAAAGAGACGATTGTGGCGGGGAGGAGGGACTGCTGACGTGGATCGAGTTACGAACAAGACACATGGTTCGCTGCGCCGCACTGCGCCGTGCGGCGTGGGAGGCTTAATTCTTGAGATTCGTTGAGGGGTCAATTGGGCGGGGCACGCGCTGCGCCGAGGCCTTCTGCTTGATTCCTGTCACATGAGTCATCCGCATGCGGAAGGCGGCCCGCCTGGGACGCAATGCTCAGTCCACTCCTGCATGACCGCATCGGGCGGTTTGAATTCCGACAAATACGGAGTCGCAATAAGAAGGTGAATTTATAGATGAAATATAAATTTTGCTACTTGGTTCCTAAAAGCTAAGTAAAACTAACAGAAAAAGAGGAGCATGTGAAATCTTTAATGCGCCGTGTGTATGCGCGTCGTGGCTGAGCACATGCTTGGTGCATTTCGTGGGAACAGGCCATCGGTTGCTTCGATCCCGGTCGTGATTGCTGTCCCACTGCAATGACGAATGATTGGGGCCCTGGAAGGCCACCTCACTCGCGTCGAGGCCTGGTGCATGCATTTCCCCGGGCCCCGACGGCAGCAGCCGAAGAATGTTGGCCGCCTCTCCGTGACCCCGCGGCCGCGGATTTATGTGGCTTCTGGAGAATGTGGGCCGCATGGCGGAGCATGGCGGAGCTGCCCTGACCTAGACGCGCTTGTGTGGGGAAGGGGGACAAACACAGAACAGACGACATCCATTAATCTTTTTATTGGCTTTGCAGGCGGCACGCAGGAGCTGCACGCGCTGCTCAAGGGGCAGGCGCTGCTGCCGTGCGACATCACCCCCGAGGAGCCCGGCGACAGCGTGTTCCTGGTGGTGTGGTACAAGGACGACCTCACGCCCATCTACAGGTAAGCTTTTGTTTGAAACTCTCAGCCCGCCCAGCCCGGATCGGCTCCCGGCCCGATCAGGTTTCCCCGTAACAAGCGCTCCCTTCTCTTTGACAATTACTCTGGCCATCGATCCATCTGCGGATCGCGGTCCGACACTTGTTGACAGCGCTGACCACTTTGGATCCGGTTCCATCCCCTGCTGCCCTTGTGGTCCGTGCAACCCGATAGGGTGAAAGGTTTACGCCAGGCTCCGCCCTGGCGCTCGTCTTGAGCGACTGCCGAAACGGCCGGAACGAGCCGATCGAAAACCGCTTCCAAGGCGGAGTCAGGCGGGGCGAAAACAAAGGCGAAGCGAGAAGCCTTCGGCAATGGAACGCCGTGCGTGCGTGCCTTCTCGCGCCGTTAAAACTCGGCAAACTTTTGGCACGGGGATTCTCCTGAGTGGCGCATCGAGGAAACATAAGTAGGGGAAGCCCCCTGCTCGCCTGCCACTGCCGCGCCTCGCCACCCCCTTTGCCAACCCCGGGCCGCCCTCACAGACCCCCTTCCGCCTGCTGGCAAGTGGCAAAGCACACCTGCGAGGAGTGGAGCGGGCGGCCCTTTGCGAGTCGAATACAATACGCGCTTAAAAATAGCCGGGCTCGTACCGCTGGAAGTTGAGGATCCGTGCCAAGTTTCCTGTTTCATTGATTTTTTTGTGCTTTTGTTCGACGCGCGCGCATAATTGAGTGAAAAATAATTATTTGAACAATGGTTGCTTTACTGCAGCTCATGAGTGAAGCGAAGTTTGGGTTTTCGACAAACTTCCAGCGCTGAAGAGGCGTTATAGGCCGAGCGATAGCAAAGCCAGTCACTCGAGCGGGGTCAAAAACTTTTGTCCTCCTGTCTGTCTTAATGTGTGCCAGTGTGTCAGCAGCACTTCTTCTCCTAAACGGTTCGGCCGATCCAGCTGCGACAGGGTCATCAGACCATGTCCTTGGCTCGCCACACGCCAAAATTCACCCTTTTCTCTGAATCGGCTGAAACCAAAAAACGCCAAACGGCAAAAGAAAGGGCAAAAGATAGGTCACTCCATGAACGAAGTTCCTCCCCGTTTTATCGTGTCCTCATGTTTCGAAAGTGCTGATGACGAAATTTGAACCCATATTCTTACCCCCGACCCCGGTTCTAATTAGGGTAGGGCGGATTTCGATGAACATTTCGTCCCAAGTCCTTTCGTTTTTCGGGGTTGCTGAGCTCAAAATTGACATCCGCATCATGAAACAAGAAAACGAATGCTACCTTGCGATCACGTCGCGTCGCGCGCTGCGCTGCCGCCATGCCAAACGTGTGCGATGCGACCGTCCAACTCAGTGGCATCATCTGCATACGCAAACGGGACCTAACATCCATGCATGCGGCCCGGAGCGCGGTGCGGAGCGCGGTGCCCCGCTGCCACAGTGCCCGTCGGACGATGCTGTGGCTCTCGAGCCGGTTTTCCACATTCTTTTTCCTTTCTGGCCCTTAACTTGGGGCGGCCCGCCCTGGGCAATTATAACTCATGCCGTCCTTCTCTAACGGCCGGCCGATGCAAATGTGTCGCGATTGGCATTCAATTGGCGAGGCTCGCCGCGGCGCCGAGATGAGCTGCTCACTTCTAATGGGCCATTTGCCGAACAATGGCTGCACTCGGTGCACCTGAAGGCCGATTTCCCCGTCTTTCTCCCTCGCACTCGGGCGCCAAATGAATGCCTGCTGATCGCCGAGCGTCCCCCCACTGCACTGCAACTTTGTCGCCTCTCCGTCAAACTGCCGCGGCGCCGTGATCGATGCAGAGTGAGGCAGAGTGTCATTTTCCCGTCCGTTGTAATTGCACGTCCAAGTTTGTCTCCTTGCGCGTGACGCTGACAGCGCAGGTGGCGGGCCTGGCGGCCCTGGCGGCTTTGGCGGCCGGGCTGGCAAAACCGTGGGGGGCTTGTCGAGGACGAGCAGCGCGCCGCCCCGCCCTGGCATGCCCCGCCCTGGCCCGGCACGCCCCGCCCCGGCCGGCACGCCGCGTATGAACGCCCCATTGTGGCGGCAGGATGGATTGCGACAGAAAAGCCATAGAGCGAGGCCGATGGGGCTTTGGCCGGCACAGGGGAAGGTCGGGGGTAATATCATCAGCCCGTCGTTATTTACGAGACAAAGATATTTGATCGGAAGAGGTCGCAGCGTGGCGGTCAAGACGCCGCCCGACACTGTAGGGCCGCCGGCCCGGGTCAGTGTTACTACGGGACGCGCCACCAAGTGATTACGCCGAGGCGCCCCGCGTGATGCCAGCCGGGGGTGGCTGCCCCGCGCGAGGCTAGCCGGGGGTGGCTGCCCCGCACGAGGCTAGCCAGACAGCGCCATAAATCCGGCGCGCGGGGCCGCGCAAGCCTTGCGCGAGATTGTTTCGTGTCGCTGTGTAGCGCGCCCGTAAATTATTTTAATATCTAATATTCTGAGATTTGGCCGGCGAGCGCTTTGCTGTGCTGCTGACGAGAGGCTCGCGATGACCAGCGCGCGGGCCGCCCCTAGGGCCGCCGCGGCGCCGTTCCCCTGTTCCCTCGCCGCAGCGTGCTTGGCGCTCCTTTTTTCCCCGCCTCGCCGCGACCTACATCTTCATTTGCTGCGTGTAGCAGCTCGCGGAAGTTGTTCAATTAACGTCGCCGCCGCACGGCGCGGCGCGGCACGGCTCGGCGCCGTCTCGCGAGGGCAAACTTGGAGACGCTCGGCGCGGCGGCGCCACGGCGCGGCGGGATCGGCTCCGGAGTGGCAGCCAACTCGCAGGTGATGATTCAAACTCGCGTGCGCCGTTTTCGCGCGCTAATTTGGAGGGGGAAGTAATGGACGCGCCCGGCGGAAAATCTTTCACGTGCTGGCTGCTCCGCCACGAGGTCTGCCACGCTTGAAGCTCGCGGTCGTCAAGGAGAGCGCTTGAGTGCAAAGAAATCGGCTTTGCGAGGGCTACCCCCTATGTGTTGGGTTGGAATCCTTTTTGTTGATGAGGTAAGTGCTCAATGTGACTGCCCCACCTGGCGCGCTGCGCGCTGCTCCGGCCCGGCTCGGCCCGTGCCTTGCCGCGTGCTTCAGGGCGAGCCAATGAATGCAAACCGTGTTAGGCCCACTTGCTGGTGTGCTTGTCTGCGCGGCCGACTTTGTTCTTCCCTGGGTCCGGCGATCCGGGCCGCGCAGGTGGGCGCGCGACTTCCGTTTTGAGGCCCTGGCTTCTTCCTCCGCGCCGCCCCTCCCTTCCCATCGAACCGTACGTTAACTGCCCGGGGGCAACATGCGAAAAAGGAGGGAAAAAACATCTGGAAGGGGAAAAGATTTTGACGAGGGTCCCCCCCTCTGCGGTGCCACCTCGTGCTCCCTCTCGCCTGGAAAAGGCCATACAAATTGGGCAACTGCTAGCGAGGAGTCTGCTTACGTATTCTGCGTGCGAATGTCTGCGGCAGGGGGCGGTTGGCCCGGAGGTAGGGCAGGGGCAGGGGAAGGGGGAGGGGCGCCACTTAACACCCTGTTCGCGGCCCGCCTTTCGCATATTACAGCCCCGAAGAAGGCGCCGGTCGATCGGGGTGTAACATGTGCCGGCCGAGCGAGAGGCAAAATTCGTCACGACGCGCGCAAGCGCACAAGTGGGTCAAGCGCCGTCCGTCTGGGGTCCCGGCCGTCCGGCTGGTGGGTATCGCCCTTCCTCGTGGGCGGCACAGAGGCCGCTACTCCAGGTAAACAAACAGCCTTTGTTCGGTGTTCCCGGAAATCCTCGAATCGGGCCCCAGATGGAACCGAACTTCCTCGTCGGCAGTGTTGGGTTCTAACAGCTTAAAAAAACACCACGAAAAATATGAGAGCAAACCGTTTTTTAGGCACGAAGTAGCCTTATAGTATCCCCCAGAATTCAGCCTCGCTGGGATTTTTTTCCGGCTTTTTACTTCTGCGATTTTCCCGGAAAAATGTGGCAAAATATGCCCTTTTATCTTTTTGGACCATTTTTGTGTCTATGTAGGCTTTTTAAAAAGCTGAATTCAGCTTGTGTCACTTGGTTGGGAGGCCGTTTACCGATAAATTCTCATCAATATCAGTTTGAAACAGTTAAAATGTATCCATTCATTTGTACATTGAAAAAAAAAACGTTGAATATTATGTTTTTGTATTGTCAGTATGACGGAATAACATTCATAAATTTTGACTCAAATCTGACATAATGCACACCTAAGTTCACGCAAACCGTTTATAAAAATAATTTTTAGCAAAAAATATTTTTCCTTTAAAAAACAAAACGTTTTCTGTGGGTTGTTTTCTAAAATTTATTTTTGACGCTTTTTTAGAACCCTTGTCGGCAGGCGGTACCATGGCCGGCCACGCATGCGGCTCCTCCGAGTCGAGGTCTGTTTGAGGAATACAGGGCTCGGCCCCTTGACGGCTTCCCGGTGGTTCCCGGTCCCGGACCCTTGCCGCGGCCCAAGATGTGCGCAAGGCCTCCATTTCCATATCGGTGTGAGGTAGGGCCCGGCTCCCCGGGCCGGCGGGGCGGGGCCTCGCCACGGGCCAATTGGTGCTCCCGCCAGCCCCGGCAGCCCGGCAGCTCGGGTCAAGGGCGGGTGCCACGCAGCAGCCCGCATCACGCAGCCAGTGGGCAAGGCGGGCTCCACTGGGCAGGCTCACTGTAGTGTGAAGGGCGGCGCCATCGCCAGAGGACACGCAGGTGTAGTGAAGACGCCCCGGGGCGTCCGTCGTGATCCAGATCCTGTCGGCCTGGCGGCCGGGCCGCAGAGTGAGGGACCGAAATGAAGGGGAGGCAGCGGCACTGCAGCGGGACAATATGCGTCGAACTGGAACGTTTCGGCGGTGCCCTCGGCGGTGCCCTGCTCTCCTTTTTCCGGGCCGCCCCTTTGCGACCGCCGCGTCGCCGGGCCCGTCTTTGCCCCGCTTTAATCTCATTAGCAAAGAAAGGCCCGGGAAACGGACGGGCGAGGTTCATCAGCATCCCCCTGGCGGGCCCTGCCAAGCCC